AAAAAAAAAAAAAAAAAAAAAAGAAAGAAAGAAACTGATATGGCTGACGTCTGGGCCGAGCTCCCACAAAAGACGGTTGGAATTTCACACGCCTGAATCTGGATGGGTTTTGGGCAGAGATGCAGGAACGCAGACAAATCCCGTTTTTCTGCACCTCTCCGCAGGCACGTCCAGATTCAGGCGCTCAGCGATGGAAACAGCGAACGTCCACCTGACGTCAGAATCGGAACATGGACCACAGTCTTCCTCTGCTGATTTTTTTGGGGCCTAGACACACCACTGTCGAAACGGAAAAAGTTCGAGTGCATCTTTCCGCAGAAAGTCGCAAGATGCGTCCGGTCCTACGAATAGGAACAGATGCATCTCGCCACTTTTTGGAGAAGGTGCATTCATGCTTTCCTCGTTTCGACAGTGGTGTGGCGAGGGCCTTCGCTGCTCTGCAGCTGTGGGTCTCGCTTCTCTGGTACTCCTAAGCTGCCATGCCGTCTGCTGCTGCTGCCCTTCTACCGCTGTCTTTTTTTTTTTTTTTGGGCCCTTATACCGCTGTCGCTATAGATAGTAGACCTCATTGCGGCTTCTGCTTCTGCTTCTGCATCTGCTTCTGCTGCTGCTCCTGCTCCTGCTGGCAACAGAGCAGAGCAGCACTGTATACATAGCAGCTTGCGTGGGAGAAAAGAGCCCACGTAAGAAAGGAAAAAAAAAAAGAAAAAAAAATAAAATCCCACGTGACAATTTATTGGGACGGGGAAAAAAAAAAAGAGAGCAAAACGGAAACTCAAGCTTACCTCATCAAGATGCCACATGTCGACGGCAGGGTTATCGTGGGCAGAGGAGAAGCACTAGGGTCTCTCTGAGGTGTCTGAGCCCAAGGAAAAAGACAAAAAAGAGGCCAAAGAGGAAACAGACACATGTACCAGAGCAGGGCTCAAGGGATCGAGTCCCAATTAGACTGTCCGAAATGAAGACTTTTGGCAAGTAGGACTGGGATCCTGCATACCCCATTACCCTTCATTGTGAGGGCCCACAGTAGTTGCACCCCTCGCCATCCGCCAGCATCCATGGCGAAAGTGTGGCGAGTGAAGAAGTACTCAGTCACCCCAGAAGCCTAGCTCACTGGGTACACCCATGAACCGTTGAAATACAGACCCGAGTTCGAAACCAGGTCATGGAACTTGATGAGTAAGAAGTTGTAAAACCAACCATTTTCTGAATTAACTGCGGCCGGTCAGCTTAATGATGATATCTCAAGGCCGTCACAATTTTAGAAAGAGGGAAAAAAAAAAATAAAAAAAAATGTACGCAATTGTGGCGAGTCGATATCCTAGTTGCACTTACTCGCCACAGCTTACCTTCAGCACCGTTTGCGCACCAAATCTCAAGCCATGAAATTAGAAGACTCGCCAGGAAGTCCTTTTTTCCTTCTTTTTTTTTTTTGCCTTTATAAAGCCCAGGTTAATGTAGAGGCTGGATTACAGACCGTACATGCGGCGCATCGACATGCGCTGCAACGCGCACGTGCGCCGCACCGCGCATAGCGCACGACGCGCGCGCATCGAATGCGGCGCATTAAGAAATAGGGGGGTCTCCCAAAAAAATTGAAAGTTGGGGAGGGGGTTGCAAGGCCGGTAGGCACTTCGCGCCGCCGGTCAGCCAAAAAAGAATTTTTTTTTTGAGGCTGCGAGGGGCCGCGCAAAAACAAAAGGGCGGGGAGATCCGAGTAGTTCATATTTGAACTACTCGGCCCTGCACCACGCCGGCCCCGCCCTGGCAGTCGACATCAGCCCTGCACCACGCCGGCCCTGCCCCGGCAGTCAACATCAGCCCTGCCCCGCGCCGTGTGCCCCCTCGCTGCTGTCGTCGTCGTCTTCTTGTATGTTTCGGAGCAGGAAGCAGCCCCCCACGTCATCGTTCAGCCATACCCTGCACAGCTTCGAACAGCAGGAGGCAGCGAGGAGCCAAGGGTCGCAGCAGCGGGAGGAGGCGAAGGAAGCAGCCGTGTCCACGTGGGTCACCACCAGCCCCACCTCTGCCTCCCTTTCTCTCTCTCTCTCTCTGTGTGTGTGTGTGTGTGTGAGAGAGAGAGAGAGAGAGAGAGAGAGAGAGAGAGAGAGAGAGAGAGAGAGAGAGAG